CCCGTGATACTCATCTATTTAGCAAACTAGATCAGGTAGCAAGAAGCAGTTAGCAGCAAATAACTAACTTTGAAAAATAAGGTTAACATAAAATTGCTTAGCATTTTATTTTTATGAGTAACAAAATAGAGAATATAAAAAGAATATAGTAGAAGGTATAAAGATAGTGTAAAGTTGATAGGAAGGACAAAAAGGCCTTAAGTATTTCAGGATGATTTTTTTTAAGTTTCAGCATTACAAGGTAGTTTGAATTCAGTACATCTGAACTGTTAAAAAGTCAAGTCAAATCCTTTGACTTGCTCTCAGAATACCTTGTTTACTCAATTGGTTTAAATGGCTTGTGAGAGAAAATGATCACCTGTGAAAGTGCTGAAGTGCCCTATAAAAATAAATAAAACTGATTTAACTGCATAAAGTCTGTATTTCAAGAAATTTTTCAAATGAAATGTTGTGTTAAATGGGGACCTAAGAGATAAGGTTGGAGAAATATAATCTTTGTGTATTTAATAACAAAAAGAAAAGTAAGACTGTAGGAAATAACCTGCATTGAAAAGCTTCGTGCTAGGAGGAGGTTTCCTGGGTGTGCTGCCAACTAAAAGGTGCCTCAGGCTTGCTGTAAATACTATTTCTTAAGCTACATGAATTTTAAGAATTAAAAAGGAGAGAAGCTGAGACAAGAATGTGAGCCTTTAATTTAAAATGATGCTTTAAACAAAATGCTTGCAATTGAAATGAATACAGTTCCTCTCTAGACTTTCAGCTTAGTTCTGAAGGTAGCACTGGGGATGTAGTTCTTGTCCTGTCTGAATTTGGAAGAGCAGATTTGCATGCCAGGAATCTGATTTGTCGAGATATGCTCTGTTCTATTATTTCTTGACTGGTTGCAGCCTAACTGTCCATATGCACGCTCTCACTTCATTTTTTCTTTCCCCAATAAAATTTCAATTAAAGCTCATAAGAAAATAGAGCAGAGAAGGCAGCTCTTGTCCAAGTCTGGCCAGACCTGGACTACCACTTCACGCATCTCTTACCCTTTGCTCTCTGTAACTCAAAATGTATTACTGCCAAAGGGGAGAGTTTGGAGATGGAGTTATGGGAAAGGAATGGTGAAGGAATAGATGGGGGGACTGGGAGCGTTTGGGTGGGATTTTACTAAGACTTGTTCCTCATTTTTAAGTCTAAATTCTGTGCCTTTCCTGACTAAGAACAGCTTGCATAGGACCAGTAGAGTTTTGGCAGAGAGATGTTTCTGGCTCTGTGTAAATAAGAGGAACGTGGACTTGGGATGTACCAACTGGCTCAGCAGGTCCAGTTCCATTGCAGTCTTGGGCAACTGTGGGATAGATTTTATTTTTTAAGTGTGCAGAACATCTTACTTGCATACTATTACACCATAAAATACTTGCAGTATGCCATAAGGTTAGTAGAAAAAACAGCTGTAACTCCCCATCTGGGTAGCTCCCCACTCTTAGAGACATGAGCATGTCTCTCAGATGGATCAGCCAGGGTACCTGGGAGAGTATTTTGGCAGTAAGAGCACCAGTAGCATAAGTCTGCATCCTGTTTCTAGGTATGGCTAACTTGTGTTCTCATAACTTCTCACAGCCCTTGTTTAACCTAGCAGAAAGGACAGCTCTTCTGATTTTATGTAAATAAATGCCATTACAGGATCCTAACTATTCTACTTCTGTTTTCTGTGTCTGCTTCAGTTTAATTTCCTGTTGCTGAACACATGAAGTTCTAGTCGTCCAGTATTTCATCTGAGGTCTTCTGCTATGTACAATTTTACTGATACTTCCCTGTTTCTACTAAAAAAAACCCCACCTCTTTTTACTTCTTCTTTTTAAATTGCATGAGCTACTTGCACAACTGTGTATCTGCTGGTTTTCCTTCTGTTATCTGTATCGTTAAATAGCAGTATCTTTGTTACAGATGCTTTTAGAATCCTCATGTACTCTTGCTGCACTGTCAAAAGTGTCTTGAATTTTTAGGATATGCAGAAAATCGTATCTACTGATTTCAGTACCACTTTACTGCGTAGCATTTATATGTTTTCATTTTTTTTCTCTCTGACGTTAGGATTTTTTTGCTTTTGTCTTCAACTTGTTGATTTATATCTTATGGAATTATTGGAAAATAACATGCAATAACATCACTTCCCCACCTGAAAATGGTTCTGGGCGTGCACTGTCTCCTATATTCAAGCAGTGCCTGATACATGGAAGCCTGACTTCTGCTTCTGTGATGTTAATAAATTTACTCTCCCCTTGATCTTATGTCAGAAAGGTAGAGTCACAAAGGGGGAGGTGTGCTAAACTCAGAATTGAGTTGGAAGTGGTGTTGCCAATAGGAATCATACGCAGCTTTAAAATATTTAGTCGAATGTTTATTTCTGGCTGTAGTACATGCAATATTTGGATAATAGTCCAAGGTGAAGTTTTACATTAGTTTGATGCAAAGTAGTCTTCACATGCAACTTGGTCGTCTCCTTATAGATTTTGAATCATTCAGAAACTATCATAGTCTTTGGTGTTGCTAATGTCAAAATAAATGAGGTGGACATAGGATTTTCCTGCAATTCTGCATTTCTAATCTCAGTTTTTTTGGTAGGTATGAATTTAATTTCAAATAGGCTTTGTACTTTTTAATATTTTGGGCTGTGTTTGCCAGCAGTAAAACACTCTGTATGACCTTTTTGAGGAAAATGGGGAAGTCAGAAAAATGTTAAAGTAAAACAAGAAGTGCTAAACTGGCTCTTGCCCAACTTAACACTGCATGTATATTGGAGCCTGAAAAGACAATTTGAAGGATTTGAAAAAGAAACAAGTGGGAGCTGAGTGAACAGAGGAAGCACGAGATTGTAAAATGACTTCTTGCAGGTTAGCAGGCAGCAAGGGCCAGGCTGCTGTGGAAGTGGCAGAAGGATGCTATAGTAAAGGTTGCTAGGCTACTGTGAGGGAAGCACTTCTGGAGCACTGCTCAGCTATGCTGAGCATTTTTACTACCCAGCTGCTAAGTAATCTGTGTATAGTATTGCTGTTTTCCTGGCTACCGGCCGGAAAGGGAAGTTTGGACTGCTAAGAAACATTGTCCCTTTGTAGGATGAAACTTGGTCATATGCCAGTTGTTACCTTTTGCAAGACTGACTGTTTTTGGTTTCGGTCACATTGACTGACAAGGAATGTCAGGAATTCTGCTGAACATGTTTGAAATGGAATAGCAAACAATAGGTCTTTGATTCAAGTATAAAAGTATAAAAACTCATTAATTTAACTTGTTCTCGTGGTGCTGTCTGGTGAGCTCTTGGTTTCTCTACCATCTTGGCTTTCATTTCAGCTACTCTGTGTTCAAAGCAGCTTACTGAAAATGGAATGTGAGTTCTTTTCACCTGGATTTGTGTCATTTTTGAAATATTTGTTAGAGTGTAATTAATCTGTACCAGTAAAAATGCATTTTTTTGCGATTTCATATGCAAGGTGATCAGTTTTGCCTCAGTGAGGGAGGGTAATTCTTCATCCTCTTTTTGATTAATGAGTTCCCTGTGCTGTGTTTTGCAGTACATGTAGTTGGAAAACACATGCATTTATGATTCTTCTTATTTGTCATTTGACCTTTGATCTTTGTTCCAGGAGATCATTTTAACAGTTCAAGCTAACAGTTACTACCATAGACATGATGGATGAACTGAATATTGAATTAAAATTATGATGTGATGTTAATGATGTTTTTTTTGCCTCTGTTGTCTCTCTCCTTGTCAGCTCTAACACAATAACCCAGTTCTCTTTTCTTGTAATACACCTTCACAAAATAGTGTTAAAACTCTGCCAATACGGTTGTTATGAACAAGTCAGTTGCTGAATGCATACTGTAGGCTGCAACAGAAAAAAAGGGTAACTTACTCTTTAAAAAGTACAGTGGATGTCGTGTAACATGGATTTTATCCAAGTCCAGTGTCCTGTTGCCAGTGGGGGACTTCAAAGGCAAGCTAACTCCACTGGTATATAGTCTCTCAACTTGTAGAGATTTGTGGTCCAGGGAGTTCTTGAACTTAAATCCATTTTTAGTGTTGGTTGTTTTGTTTTCTTGTTTTTTTTTTTTTTAAAATGTAAATGTTCTTTACAGAGTTGTCTTCTGTGAATTTGTATAGATGCTGTTTAAATCTATTTAAAATAATAGTATTCACATACTCTGCCAAGAATTCCAAAGTTCACCTACCTGTGTGTTGTGTGAACAACTGCCACGTGTTTGATTCTTATCTGCTAATTTTGCTCAATGATGTCCATTTCTTGTGCTGAGAAACCATAAACAATTACTACCTACAGCTTTCTTGGTTCCATAGGTGGTGTTATAGATTCTGTTCTCAGATGTTTCCTTTCCTGGGAGAAGACTCCTTGCCTATTAACCATTCCTTTCAGCTGCGGATGTACTGTTTTGAGCACCCTGGTTGGGTCCTTCTCCATGCCTCTTTTGGTTATACACTTTTTGAGATGTGTAGGAGCCAGGAATGGGTACAGTTTTAAGGATGGAATTTATAAAGTGACACAATGCATCCTGCTTTGTTTTCCAGGTCTCTTACAAGAATTCTTAACATTCAGTTTTGGTTTACTATTGCTATTTTCATTACTTCAGAATCTCATTCCAGAGTTAATAGCTTTTTCACCTCCTGTCGTCATCTGTGGTATATGTTAGGGTGTTGGACTTTCTTGAACTCACGTGCTTTACTTTACATCTCTTTACAGTGAATTTCTTGTGTTAGTTTAATATCTACTCATGTGGTTGCGTAACGAACTCATGCCACTGTAGGTATTTCTCACTTTCATAGCTTAGAATTGTCAAAACCCTTTTTCATGTTGTGAAAGTATTATTGCTTTTTTTATAAACGTTTAAAGTATACAATTACCTGTGCAGTACAAGTTGTTTGTGAAATTAATAACAGGACTGGATATTTTTATTTGATTCCCATTCCATTAATTTACGAACTCAATCTTTTGCAGTTTTGTTGCTAGAGAAGATGGAACATGATGACATCTGTAATAAAACTCTGAAGATTACAGACTTTGGTCTGGCTAGAGAGTGGCACAGAACAACCAAAATGAGTGCAGCAGGGACTTACGCATGGATGGCTCCAGAAGTTATCAAGTCCTCCATGTTTTCTAAAGGAAGTGATATTTGGAGGTGAGAAGTTTGTCTGCTGAAGACCGTGTTCACTAGAACTGCGTTGATGTTTTTGAATGATTTTTGTGTGTGTGTGTGTGGTTTCCTAGGTTATTGTCTCAACATATAGCAAATGTAGCTGTTCAAGAAACATACTAATTTCTCAGCATTTACTTTATTTGATCTCTTTAGTCGTTCATGACTTACAAATTGGGGGAGAGGGAAAATAACAGAAAACTTTTTTGTTTTGTTTAAAGAAAGCAAGATCTCATTAGAGAAGGCCTTAAAATATCTATTGATTAAGATACCTAAGTATTTTATTCGATTCTTAATAAAAACAGCCTTATGCTCTTAATACATTAATACATGATTCGTCTCATATTGGTATGTTTATTTTACATCAGATGTCTGGTAAGTCTCATTCTGCATAAAGAAATGGGACCAGCCACTTGTTACCTTATATGTCTGATAAATAAAAATGAGCTGCAAACCAGAACTTTGCCGAATGTTAAATTAGTTCTGGTTTTAGGAATCTAAAATGTGATCATGTGTAAAAGTGAACATCAGATCTAAGCTTTTACATTTATAGAGGTTTCAATTCCAGAAGCTGGAGTGAGGAGAATGTATTGATCACAGAATGATTTTAACTTGCTCTCTAATTTTAAACTTGGGAAACTCCCTATATTAAATTTGTGAATTTCTCATTAAAGACGTTATAGTGGATCACATAAGTAATGGCTTTCAAAACCAATGCTATTTTTAAGTGGTGTAGTGTCGGACAGGTATTGTCAAAGGTAATTTAAACTTTAGGTTTAATTTAGTTCTGTTTTGTGAGTGGAGTAAAGCAGTGATTGCACAATAGGCTCTAAAAGCTGCTGTGCCTCACCCTGAAAAGTCTACATTTCCTTTCTTTTTGGAATGTCTTACCTCTGAAGGATCCAGGAGAGCTATTTGGGGAAGGAGGGGAGTACTTGAATTGTTCTCTCATGCTTTCTTCTGCATGTTCTGTGGTGTATAATGCTTAAATAGGATCCTATTTTGCTTAGATGCCTGATCTTCTACAGCATGAAGTAACACTTTTGGTATTCTCAGGATGATTCTATATCTGCACTACTGTTTTGTGACACCCATTTGTCTTGTGTATGGAACCAATTTTCAGCATTTTGTTTCTGTTTCATCAGTTTGAGTTGATGCCCAGTTGAGAAACATCTTTGGCTTCATTCTTTTTTCCCATTCTTTCTTTTTTTCTTTAATTTTCTTTTCTTTTCTTTTTTTTTTTTTCTTTTGCGGGGTGGAGGTTGGGTGTAGGCGTTTCCCTAATCAGCTGTATTCCATGCTTAATTACAGGTCCTGTCCAGTCTTGTTGCTGTGATTTTAGGTATCTGAGGGGGTATGCTTTGGTGCAATTATTTTATATTCTGCTGCAACATTAGTTTACATTTTTGGAACCTACAGTATTTCTCTTCTTCGCCTTCTCTCCTGCACGCCTCTCTTGTAAAAATGTAAGTATTTAGCTTAATGATGGACGTCTAACAGGAGAGGTTTTTAAGTAGAAAGGCTATGTTGTACAGTATAGTTTAGACCTTCTTGGCTTCTAAAGTTTTTCTGCTTACTGCACCTTGATCTATTCTGTTGCTTATCTTTACTCTTTCTTCAAAAGAAACGCAAATAAGGAACACCCTTGTTATAGGAGTTTTTGTTTTAAAAAGCATACAGGTTACAAATTTTATGTATGGGGTCTCTAAGATAAGAACACAGTATATTTCAGGAAATTCCTGAACTTCAGTTACACATTCTGAGTGCTGAGTCCCCAAAAGAAATCTTCAGACCTCTGATTGGGGGGAGGCATTTGAGGCTGCTGAAGTACATTCACAGTTGCAGATAGTCTTCCAGAATCAGCCAGTGCTTGGAGATGTTGTGGGAGTATTGTCATGCAGAGCCTTCCAGGCTGCATGTTCTCAGGTGTCGTCCTAGATAGCAGAGCTGGTGTTTTCCAGGCCCTGCATGTGTATCCTTTTGCTTCCTAAACCAGAGTTACGACGACTGCATTTATTACTCTTTCACATATGCTTCCAAATTCCCAAACAAGAATTTCACTCTTTCAGGCCTACCTTTCCATCAGTTATCACGCATTTCCTAGTGGTACATCAGTCTTGGTTTTGTGTATGGAGCCTGAAAGTGCAAATATGCCCACAGATTTCCAAGTGCTGATGGTGTACATCAGTAGTGGTCTTTACAGTAACATATGCCTTCATTGTACAAGCCCTTGGCAGAGCAAGGAAGCACTTCCTGCACAGCAGAATTAGCAGCTGCTTTTGCCTGGCACATTCGTATGATTTTGAAGTGATTCATTTGGCAATAATTAGTAACCTTTGCTTTAGAAGGTAGATTGTAAAATTAAATGAACTTTGAGAACTTTAATTACCTTCATTTTTATCAGCTTTTAAAATATGTAAAACCAGCAACTTATTGCTGGAATGAGATACAGTAAAGGCGGAGAATAATTTTTAATGATGAAAATACTTAATATACTTTCAAAGATATGTCCTTTTAGGTTTTGTGGTTTAAAAATTATAAATTCAAGCATATTATGCCTGTATTTTTGGCCTTTTGCTAAAGATGGAAAAGGACATGGCTTTTGCTCTTTAAAAAAGCTATTTCTTAGAAGCTCTGGCTTTGTACATAGGACAACTGTATGTGGGCTGGTGAAATTTAATACACAAAGTACCTACATCTGTAGTTAATAAGTTGTTGTTGTTCGAGATAATGATAGATTAGTACCTCCCAAAAACTCCAGCGTGGCAGGACTAGAATGTCTTTAGGGTTCCTCCCCACAGTTTCCCCCCCTGCAGCGCCTGGCTCTTGGTATTTGGTATCAAGACTGCTTTCATTAAAAGAGATGCTTTCAGGCTGTTGCCGGATTGGTCTGTTTAAAATTTTACAACCATCTTCTTGTCACTCTTGAGAATTATTTAGAGTTAAAGGTCTGAATTGTAAATATAACTAAAGCTAATAGAGTGTCACAACTTTTATAAACGGTGGTTTCTTTTTAGTTAAACTTACTGTTCTGCTTCAGAGTTCATGCTAAAATATGCATATAATAGTCTGAACAAGGGAATTCCTTGAATTAAGAACAGTCTATGCTTGCTGAGAGAGCATGGCATTATTTTTGCGCTTTCTTCAAGGTTACAGATGCGATGTAGTTCAGAAGAAATCCTTCATTATGCATAAAATGCGTATGTACCTCAGGAAGTATTGTACTCATTACTGTCAGAAATACGACTGATTTAAAACAAAATTGGAATTCATTCTTTTATCCTTCTTCATGTATACAACCAAGTGCAGAGATTAGACTGGAAAAAACTGGGAGGAAATTACTAAGAAGTTTAAGACTTTTTTTTTTTTAATTACTCTGTTTTGGGAGGAATAGACTGTATTCCTCAGCTGCTGATTAACTGTTACTGTTATAAATTCATCAGTTTCCTAAGGCTTTACAATAGGCAAAATTTGGTGGATAAACAGAACGTAGATAAACAAAACTGCTGATATTTGTGCTGATACTGCATAGTTTGCTGTTTTATTTATTAAAGTGATGTTGTAAGGTCTTGTGCAATGCTGAACAACTTTTTCGCAGTAAGGAGAATGTGATAGAAAAGCTTAACTAGTGTGTGTTCTTCTGCCCATCACATGTGCTGTAGTGGAGGTGGTATTTCTAGTACTAAGGGGTACGTAGCCCTTACCTTCCCAGTGCTGTATGCATTTCTCCTCATGTAGGAGAGTTCAGTCCAGTCCTGCAAAACTCGGACGTGGTTTCTTCATACACCTGGAGAGAAAGGGCAACAGCAATGCTTTGTATTCCCTTTGCCTGCTCACTTTACTGTTCAAAAGCAGCAATAGGTTGTCCTTTGTATACTTGTTCTTCAGATAGTGGTTCCCAGGAAGGAAGAGGAGGCTGGGTGGGAGGGAGGAAACAACCCAGTTGTAAAGTCTACTTTACGCTTATGTTCTAAAAGGAGTAATTCCTCCTTCCACAAAAACTACTGTGAAAACTGTGGTTTAAACCATGGCACCATTTCAATGGTGGTAGAATAGGAGCTCTAGAGCAACAGTAGTGAGCATACTGTCTCAGCCCTCTTGTAGGGGCTTGGGTCATTTCAGCAAGACAAGCATTGAGCATACAAATCCAAAGAAGGTAAAAGCAACACCCAGCTCTTCTGGAGTGGAGAGCATAGCATAAATTTTTATGATTAATGTTGCTGTAGTAGGAATTCCTATAATCCATGATTTCTGTACCTGATGCTGAGAAAAGTTCTCTTCATGCCACCACCTTTCACTGGAGACAATGTTGTTTTGTTTGGGTTTTTTTTCCCTACTATGGAGGAATTAATTTTGCGTGAATAATCATTTCAGATAAATTGTTGTGAAATGTTTGGAAAGGGAAATGGCCTGAATACTGTGCTGAGGTTTTCTTTTTTGTTTTGATGTTTTTTGGTGGGGAGAAGGTTGCTTGTTTTCCTGTCATTCAGACTTCTGATTGTGAGATGTACATGGTACTGGCATTTCTATAGAAGTGACTTCAGGCTACATTTTGAATAAGAGTGCAAGCCAGAGTTAAAGTCACATCCAATTTTGTTAACCGCTATTAGTGGAAAGGAGCAAGATGACTAAAGTAGAGGTGTCTCTTAAAGGCATTCACCTTTGATATAGGAAATCCTCATGAATTTCAGTACATGGTTGGACAGATACGTGTTTGTTCTTGAGCAAACAATGTGTCAATACTCAGAAAATAACTGTTAAAAAAATTACCTTTTGTAGTTATGGAGTGTTGCTGTGGGAACTGCTTACAGGAGAAGTTCCTTACCGTGGCATTGATGGCCTTGCTGTGGCTTACGGAGTTGCTGTCAATAAGCTTACTTTGCCCATTCCATCCACCTGCCCTGAACCGTTTGCAAAACTAATGAAAGGTATCTATGTTGTTTCTTCCTATCTGTTTAAATAGTTGTGGTTTGGGGGTATATATTGGTCTGTAATAGTCATGGGGTTGTAAAATAAACACCTCATTTGATAATGCGCTGTGTACAAAGTATTTTGGTTTTCTTTACACAGCAATCTGGTGTTAGGGACAGTTGAATGTGTTTCTGAGGAAGTCATATGGTATTACTGTGTATTGCTTAAGTTCTTCAGTAGTGACAAAGTACATTTTTTTTTTTTTTTTTTTTTACTCTGGTTTTCCTTTTACACTCAAATTGCATTAATTTTCATAAGTTACAGGATATGCTACAGATCAATACGTGAGCAAGATTAAAATCCCAGGGGGAAGAACTGCAAATGCCATTTTTTTTTTCTCTGCATTATTTCTTCCTAACAAAAATGTTTTGGAAATACTTTAAAGAGAAATAAACTTTGTATGCTAATGGGCCTTTCCTTGTGTTTAGTGAATTTCTTTACCTTTTATATGTGTCCCTTCTATGCAGTACTGTTAGTTTTGCTATTTCAGCTCCTAAAGATAGAGATGAAAAAAAATGACTATTAATACAAAAACAGTCCTGTGAGTACAGATAGGTAGATGTCACTTCTGTAAACAGAAAATGGAATTAGGGAAGCCTTGCAAGTAAATGGAACACATTAGAACTGTGAGTACAGTAGCAAGTAACTTGAAATTCATGTAATTCTTCAAAAGGTAATATGTATTCTTAGAAACTGATGGGATTTTGATAAATTCTAGAATGCTGGGAGCAGGACCCTCATATCCGACCATCGTTTGCCTTAATTCTTGAACAGCTTACTGCCATTGAAGGGGCAGTTATGACTGAAATGCCTCAAGAGTCTTTCCATTCTATGCAAGATGACTGGAAATTGGAAATTCAGCAGATATTCAATGAATTGAGGACTAAGGAAAAAGTAAGTTTATTTTTTCTAATTACATGGCAGGGAAGGAAGGGTATGTGTGTATGTGCATTTATGTGATACAGGTATTTTGAGCTTTTGAACTGTGGCTTACCAATATAATACAAGAAACCTGTTTTAAGAGTGGAGATGCACTTGAGAGGATAAACTACTTGGAAGAGAGGATTTACTCTCATTAAAACATTATTAGCTTAAGTTGCCTACTTTTGTTGGATGTACTATTAAATTCCATTAATGCATTTCTGGACAGTATTTTAAGATAACTCTAACTGTCCCACAGCAAACTTACGTTAGAAAAAACATTTGAATACTGTTTTTCTCAAATTCCAGACAATTTGCTTTTCCTCCTTCTTTAACAAAAAGAATAAACAGTACTGTCTGCTGAAACTATAGCTAGAGGTGTTTCTCTTGAAGTGAAATGTTAAGTTTGACAGGAAAATGTAATGTTACTGTAGTAAGTGTGTGTTATCATCTGAATGGCTCATTCGAGAAGTACAGGCAGTTGAAAAAGAAACATACCCAGACCAGTCTCCCAAAATAAAACAGGTTGTAGGTCTGTAAATGTGACACATAGGCTCTTTTTAAAATGTCTTGGGTTTGTTTTGTTTTTTTTTTCCTTGATATTTGAATACAACAGCTAACAAACCAATGTTTATTTACCCTTTAGCTAGTCTTTCTAACCACTGCAGATTTTCAGCTGCTGCTGAACATTCTCCTCGGCTGTGGGAATGAAAAGCTTTTCATCCTGTTATATGACTGTATCACGTGGTTTCTTTACAAAAAATGGAATAGTGTTTTTAGCTCTGTTCATCCTGAACAGACTGATAATATTCATCTATTTCAGTGTTTCGCTTTTGGAAATATTCTTGCCAGATATTAATAAGATTGATTAGGTCAAACTTGCACTCATGAATTGGCAAATCCAGTTTCTCTTGTTCATGATGCAGATCATAGAATCATAGATTAGTTAGGATTGGAAAGGACCTTAAGATCATCTAGTTCCAACCCCCCTGCCATGAGCAGGGACACCACACACTAAACTATGTCGCCCGAGGCTCTGTCCAGCCTGGCCTTGAACACCTCCAGGGTTGGAGCATTCACAACTTCCTTGGGCAACCTATTCCAGTGCCTCACCACCCTCACTGTGAAGAACTTCTTCCTTATATCTAATCTAAAGTTCCCCTGTTTAAGTTTAAAGCCATTACCCCTTGTCCTACCACTAGAGTCCCTAATGAAGAGTCCCTCCCCAGCATCCTTGTAGGCCCCCTTCAGATATTGGAAGGCTTCTGTGAGGTCTCCACGCAGCCTTCTCTTTTCCAGGCTGAACAGTCCCAACTTCCTCAGCCTGTCTTCATACCAGAGGTGCTCCAGTCCTCTTATCATCCTCGTGGCCCTCCTCTGGACTTGCTCCAGCAGCTCCATGCCCTTTTTATGTTGAGGACACCAGAACTGGACACAATACTCCAAGTGAGGTCTCACAAGAGCAGAGTAGAGGGGCAGGATCACCTCTGTTGACCTGCTGGTCCCCGTTTCTGATCTTCTTTCCATGATATCATATCATGGTATGCTTGTGCTAAATGAGTGCTCACTGTTAATTCTCTTTGCCTTCTCTTTTAGTTAGTTCAGCTGGTTTTCAATCACCCTGAAGTTTATATTTGAATTTAGACAAGTTGATAATCAGTTGGAGTAGACCAGGTGCCCTCTTGAGTCTGTGTTAAAAATGCTTCTAGTAGAAACAGATTCCTTCTTTGCAGGTCTTCCTTGCAGTATAATTATTACCCAGTACATGTTGTTATATCTCATGAAGTGGTAATAGAGGAGGAAGAAGAGAATTGATATACAGTGACTTGGGAAGAAATCTTTATAAAAGATGTAGTCACTTAAGTTTGATAAAAGCAAGTAATAAACTCTTATCTTGCAAGTCACTGTCAGTAAGAAGCCTTTGTCCCTCACTTTTCATCAAGTGTCACAAATGGCTGTTGGTGGACTACTGGCTGGTAATGGGTATGACATTACAGATCTGTAGTATCAGTTTATGTGTTATCAGAATGTATTGATGACCACTAAGACTGCAGTATCATCCGTAATAATCTTGTATATCTTTGATCTGCCTTTTTTAGCACCCTTTGCTTTTCCGTCTTGCATTTAAATTCACGTACCTGGGCATTGTCTGTGTAGTCTCTGCCCTGCCTGCAGTGGGCATACAAGTTGCTGGAGCTGGGCTGTGTGCTTCTGTAGCTGTCACATCTTTTTCCCAGATGGGTTATAGTCCCTGTAACAGAGAGTAGAGACTCTCCTTTTAAATTGCCGTGGAATCACGAGCCACTACATTTACTTGCTACAGCCTGCCATAGAGTATAACTTTCTTTTCTGCCCCTCCAGCAACTGCTCAACCAACCGTTTTCCCCTTTTTACTCTGGGGGCAATTTAATAGGCACTCCCATTCGGGTGGTTTTTTGGGGTGTTTGGTTTGGCTTGGGTTTTTTTTCCTGAAAGCATTAGTCCAGTATGCCATTTCTTGTTGAATCAAAATCTGACTAAACGAAGTTTAGGATTAAGTAAGTGGTGCAAAGCTCTGGGAGAGGAGTCAAATTTTTGGTGTAAAAAGTGAGTTAAGCTTAATTAGGGAGGGGAAAAGATGAATGAAATTTACTTCTCATATGCCAAAGTAAATGCATCTCCAAAGGCATCTGCCCTAATTAGGTAAACTTGTTTGAGAATGCAAGCATGTAATTTTGACTTAGACAAGGTTTTCATATATGCAGGCTTATTTAATTTGGCTCATTATCAATTTTACTGTCAGGTACGAGGGAGAAAGTAATGCCTGTGAAGTATTTATATAATAATAGTAAGCCAGAAAAATGCTGCATGGAGTCTCATGCCCTGTAAAGGAGGAACTTCTGTAGCTGGAGGAATTTCCTTAAGGGCTTGCTGTAAATGAGTGATGGTGACACCCACTCCAAGAGAAGATCACAATCTTCTTTTGACAAACGCTCTTGAGCAACTAAAATATAGAATTCTTTCCTAGCTTCCTTACAATGAGTGTTTTAATTGTAGAGTGGTGTAGAAACATTGCATAACTAATTGCACTAAGTCTGTTTTTAATTAGTTTATTTGGAGTAAATACTTAATCTCTCAGTGAGGAAACACTACTACTTTTTCTAGACTGCCTACCTTTTCAGTATGGGCCTTCAAGTTTTGCCTAGTTACTAAGCTTTATGCAACCTGGGTTTGAGGACAACAAGGCATGGATGGTCAACAGTGTCTCCTTTATTACTGCAGTAATACAGCAGTAAACATATTTTCTATTTGCACTTTAAAGTACCTTAATTCTAATACCAAATTCATGCAGCTTCTGCTTGCAATCCTTGGTTTAGGTTGTCCAGTTTGAATGGATGGGAGAAGGAGGAGGAAAATGAAAATTTGCAGCAATGTCTAAATTAAATGATTAAATACCTTAAAAGAAAACCAAACAAACCTACCCAAACAAACAAAAAAAAAAAAAACCAAGGAAAAACCCCAAAACCTTACTTAATGGTGTGTAGACAGGTTCCTTTGAATTTCCAAGAGACAGAATTGCTTTTTGCAAAACTATGTATGTTAAGCAGAGTAGATTTAAAAATGAAAAAAAGAAAAATCCAAATATTGCATTGAAAGAAGCTCACTCAAAATTAGCAAACAATATGAAATTTGTCAGACATTTTAATTATATTTGAAAACAATAATCAGTATGTGTGTGCCATATTTGTAAAGAAACAACAAGTATCTTTGTAAGATACTTCTCACTGAACCAGTTTGCTTCAGTGCTAACCTGTCTTGACGTCTGTAGTCTTTTTGGCAAGAACAGGGAGGTGTTTTTCCCCTCATTTGAAAAAAACCTAAGTACTATAGTTCAGGAAATAATTTATTCAAAACACAGTGGGAGTTAAAAAGAACTGAAAGTTTGGTTTTTTTGCTTTCACTGTATGTGATAAGGAATTGTACTGCCATACAGTATTGCTGGATACTGATGAGCAGTCTGTTCTGAGAAAAACCCCAAACAATATCCCAAACAAGCAAAAAAACCTGATCACCACCACAATTATAAGATTGTACAGTGACAAAATTAGTTAATTTAAATAGGAATAAGGTTCTTTTATGCAGAACTTCTAGCATAGCTTAATTTCAAATGCTGGTTTTCTGTTTGAATTGAATTTCAATTTCTATCCAGGTAGCATTTACACAATCATATGTAAAAATGGAAGACACTTGTAGCGAGAAACTTAAAGTATTGGTCCCATTGTAGCCTCTCCTTTTCTTGTAGTCTCTTTTGTTAGCACTACTGCCTACAACATTTCATGTATAATATGCCTCATACTATATGGAGGGAGGTCTACATAAACTTCAGATATTTTAACAGATCTTGAAGCTGAAGATTAAGATAATTTTAAGGTGGTAGGTTTAAAACAATTCAGCTTTGAGGATTCATTTACCTGTAAAATTAACTAGCTTCCTTACTAAAGCTTTTCTTCTCCAAAATAAAAAAAGAATAAAGGGAGAAAAACAACTATAGTCTATGGGATTGAAGGTTGGAGAGTTTGTGGTGTAATTGAGTGGTTAGTAATTGTTTGATGTGGTACAGATACCTGCTAGATTTTAATTAAGAAACAGCTGTCTTCTGTCTTATGACTTGGTTTATCCTATTACAGTAATCCTCATTTGGTGTAATACTGATTGCTTTTCTAGATAGAAAAGTGCTACTTAATACATGGCTGAAAACCAAGAAAGGTTGGAAAATTTAAGAGAAAGGCGTTCATTTGTGTATTCATCAGGTCATTTACTTTATGTTACTGCATAGGAGCTGTCTAAGAGCAGCCCTCATGCTATGGAACAGTATCTGATGTGAGGTGCTTGGAGCACACTATCTGCTAGACTGTAAGTGATAATCTTTGATTGGATGTATTGTCCCCATTGTCAGTGCTTAACTGACTGCCCTAAGTGACTCAAGTTAAATGGTTGAAAGGAAATCTGTGTAATGCTTGGTGTGTCCGGATACAGAATCTTGGTTTATGTGGAATGGAGGGTTGTCAGAAGAGGTTGCATGCTCATGTGTATATAGTGCATCATGAAAATAAATTGGGAAATAAAACCTACTGTGCATTTCCTATCTCCTTTAATACAACCTTCACATAATTGCTTAGTTTCACTTTGTGAATCTTACCTCCAGGAGCTTCGATCACGAGAAGAGGAGTTGACAAGAGCAGCTCTTCAGCAAAAATCTCAAGAAGAATTACTTAAACGTCGTGAGCAGCAGTTAGCAGAACGAGAGATTGATGTATTGGAGCGTGAGCTGAATATCATGATATTCCAGTTAAACCAAGAGAAACCCAATGTAAAGAAGAGGAAGGGCAAATTTAAAAGAAGCAGGTTAAAACTTAAAGATGGACACAGAATTAGTTTGCCTTCAGGTTTGTTTTTTTTTTTTTTTTTTTTTTTTTTTTTCACAATATATTTTACAATTAAATATGCATGCTTTCTGTGGTTAATGGTAACTGTGGAGTTCCATGGTTAATGTTTTCAGCACTGGCTACTATTTCAATTCATTGCCAGGTCCTTCCACCCTTATAGTGCAAAAAGGTATGGTAGGAATTGTATACACACACCCCCCCCACCTCCCCAGAACAACTTATACATAACACATTCTTGTCAAGTAGTCCTCATTTCAGCTGGAAGAATCTTTCACCTGATTCAGCTAGAAGTCTGTTGCATCTGGATGGAAAGATTGCTAGCATGGGAGCCACATGGTTCAAGACTTGTTCAAAGTTCAAATTTTTGCTATTGTTCTTTTTGTACAAATAGAAAAGTACCTTTTTATCACGTCCCAGAACTTTCCAACATCATCAAATATTAATGCTGCTTGCCCTAAACTTTGAAATACCTAGCAGAACAGCAGCACTTTGTAAAGGCTGGAGGTACAGGTGTAGTAGGTCCAAGTTGCATGCTTATTGCAGTCGTAAATACAATACAGCAGTTACAATCTTTGGTGCCTTACTTCTTGCAAAAAACCACTGTAATAGCAACAGAAGATATGATTTCAGAATACAGTTATGGTATAATCTGAACGTGAGAGCATTTAATTCCACCCATGAACACATTAAAATGCCCTCTTTGCAAAGGAGGCGTGTTTCTGTAGAGTTGGGTTTTTTTAGTGTCAGGGAGTGGTGCCTTTTTAATGTTGCCACGAGATGGCACTACGGAAACTCAGGGTTATGCTAGTGGTTGGAAAGCCTTCAGTAGTGGTACTAGCATACTGGAGTTGATAGGCTTCCTTTCAGTGGCTTCCAGGGGAAGTCTGTCAGTTTATTACTAATGGAGTAAGAATTAATTCCACACCAACGCAGGTCTGACCAAATCATAGCTGGTAGTTGGAAACAGACAAAGAGAGCAGTAATACATAGAGTACTATTTCAGCACTAGTGAAATAGGTTTATTTTTCATTACTTTAAAAATAAAAACAGTAAATAAAATAGAAATCACACTACAGCCTCCCAGTCAAGCATGTTAGATTGGCTTATGCTGGATCACAAGCTTAAACTAAATGTTTGGTCCTTTGTTTCCAGTTCTACTCATATTTAACTTGAAAAAGTGATTAAATAAACAGTTGTATTCAGAATACCATAGCTCTTTGACGTCAAGAATTATCCAGATGAATTGAGGCAATTCTGTTGTAAGAATAGCATACAGTCTAATTGCACTGGGGATGGGGATTAGAGAGGGGCACATTGTCAAATTTTACTTCATAAAATTTTTCCTACTTGCCAGTATTATTTGTTGGGTTTTCTTTTTCCCTAC